CTTCACTCCTTGTTTACTTGTTTATTCTTCTTAACTAATTCTAATCTTGACCAGCCCTCAGACAAGAAAGAGCTGATACAGGAACCAGAATCCTATTGGTAAAAATTCCAGATCATGCAAGTATCAGAAGGTCTGGCTGCTGTCCTGGAATACATAGGAAGAGAAGCCAGGAGGAATAAGATACATACAAAGCAGGAGGAGAACCTCCAGCAACTACACCTGATTTTAGGGACTCCAGACAGCAAAAGAAATGTCGCTGGAAGTCCACCAGTGATTCGGTGTTTGCTAGCCTTGAATTACTTCTAAAAATTATTTTCATTGTAAAACTATAACAATAAAACTATAACAATAAACAGCAGCAAGACTATAATTGCTGACAGTGTAAGCAGGTCCCTGTCTATTATTAATTTCTTTAGCATCCCATTTGAATTGATCTCTTAGAACTTGGCTTGATTGTCTCGGCTCCTGCTTTGCTTGGGAAACAGATGAAATGTGTCTCTAAAATCAGTGGTCAGCAGCAGGAGCAGAGGACTCCAGTGAAGAGATTGTTCACTCTGAGAGCTGCAGTCCCCAGGAATTGTGCTTCCCAGAGCAGCTGGAACCATCTGGATGTGTAGGATGTATGGGATGTACACTAGGAGTGGCTAAAATGGGTGTCAGGCTGTGTTCTTGTGAGGAAAGACCATTGTGCTGTAGGAAGAGGGACATGCATTTCCTTTGTTACTTCCTGTGTTTAACCCTGAGTCTTTCCACTGGCTTTTTGACACAGATAATGCTCAAATCATTTTTATATTTACTGTGATGTGGGTGCCCCTCTTGTACCTTGTGCAAGTAGGCATTACCAGGTCTTTTCAGTTCCTCTGCAATCTGGCCATGCAGTGTCTGGCAGGAGCTGGATGCTGCAGCTCCTCTCCTTTTTCTTCCTCCTGTAAAACACTAGTTTATGTCTGGCAGTAGCTAGTACTGCTGAAGGACTAAGCAGTAGACAGGGACAGATTTTGAGACTGCAGCTTTGTGTGGCTATTCCAGAATTTCCCTTTCCTCCAGCAAATGTTAATTCTTGCCTGTAATAAGCTGGTTGGGAGAATGGTTGGGAATTTGCATTAGTTCATGCTTGTTTCACTCATCCTCAGCTGAACAGCCTAAACCAATATTTCCAAGAGGTGTGAATAGGAGTTTTCATTGCAATTACAAGTCACTCTGAAAGGTGTTTGTGGTGATGACTGCAAAACTGATCATAGTGAAAGCTGGCTGGGACTCTTGCCTGGATCCCAAACCAGCTCTTGCAGGTTTGGAAAAGGACAAAACCAACAGAATGCCAGCTTGTTCAGCCCTACCTGCTCCTTCTCATAGAATGACGAAGAAGTAATTTAGTGTGCTTTTTGAGAAATGCACATTTTCAGAAACAGGCTTTTGGGATGTTGTCTGGTGGCATAGTCCCTGCCTCAGCTCTCATGATCTGCCTACAGCATTCCCAATCCAAATGTGACACCAAGCACTGAGTTTTGTGTGCTGCAGTCTCAAAAGGTTTGGAGAATGAGCACAGTGAATTTTTGAAATGGCCAATCCTTTGTGTTTAAGCTTTTGGGTAAAACATCAACTTTTCTGGGAATGGCCTGATTTTATTTCCACGCCTGTACGTTAAACTTGCCAGGTTCAATTTGGCTTGGAGTTTTGAACTGAGATTTTCCCATCAGAAAGAGGAGGAAAGGGTGGGTACCTGAGAGTACATGGATGGCCAGATTGATCCTCTGTGCTCCTGCTGGCTTTGAGCCAAACCAGGGTTAACCACAGGCAGGATTTTTTTTTCCCAGTGCTGCCTCTGGCAGAAGCAGTGACAGCTCTTGACCATGGTGGCAGGTGTCCCACCAAGGTGAAGAGCCTTCCATCCTCATGTGGCCCTCCCTATTACACCTGCAATCCATGCTGCACTGGTATATTGGAATCCCAGGAGCATTCCAGGCTCCTCGTGCTGTTCTCCCTGCTGCAATTTGTAGTGGAATTAGGTGTGTATTGGACAAGACTCCATGGGTGCTTTCATTAGCTATTCCCTTTTCATGTTAAGTCTCAAGAAGGCTCATTTTGTTAGAGTGGGCAGGATCAAAATTCCAAATTCCATGGCTGCCTGACTGGCACCTCCTTTGAAGTGTGGAGAATTGTTTTGCCTCTGTATTGTCATTTGAACTGGAAGTGCCAAGCAGTCAGGATTTTGAAGTGAGTCAGACTTGGTGCAAAGAGAAAGCTGTGTGTTATCAAGTGTTGCTGGGGTTTTTTTGAGTTGACAAGGCAGACTGTGGATGTATTTCTCTTAGACTCATGCAGTACTGTGACTGTAAGACTAGAAATGGGAGTGAGGGTATTGTCACAAACTGATTTTCACAGAAGCAAGGTTTTGCCCACTTCCCCAAAGTGTGGCTGTTTAGCTGGCAGTGCACATATGTGCATGTCTATCCTCTATTTGCATATTTTAGTAAAATTAATTTTTAAACTTTTGGTGCTTCTAAATAGCTGATGTGTAACCAGGTAAATTTGGTATATTAACCTTTTCTTGTATGCCTTGGTCAGCAAAAATACAAATTTTTTGTTGTATTTTCTACAAACAAGTCCCATTTTATGTAATGAGAGTACATGAACTCACGTGAACTAACTTCAGTTTTAGTAAATAAGAGAAATCTTTTCTTACAGGCCTCTTAGTTTTTGTAAGGTGGGATACATTAGAAAGTATCAGCATTAATTCAGTTCAACAGCAGGAATAATTTTTTGCATGTATTATAAAGATTGCTACAAATCAGATGAGACAATCATCTGTTGCTGGGTGATAAATATTGATTTCACTTCATGCAGCTGTGCTAAGCAGAACACTTTAAAACCCCCACAAAACAAAACAAGCCCAAATCAATCACCTGCCACTGCCCTCCATCTTCATAGGCAAGTGCTGAGCTTGGAAACACCTGTGAGACCTCATTAGCTTAATGATAATCACACATTCAGCACTGATAATGCATCTGCCAGGTGAGCCTGCACAGCTCAGTCATCAAACCAGCTTCTGGGACACATTCCTTGATCTTCTTGTGTGTCCCACATCCCACGTCTGGCTGATCCATCAGAAAAAGGGGTTGGTAAATTTTGAACATAAAGGCAACAGCTTTTCAGAGCCCAGGGGTGTGATAGCTGTCTGCTAAGAGCTGATGTTGGAGAAAAAAAACTGCTGAGAGGTGTTTGATTTTACAGCAAGGCAGCTGTAAATAGCCAGGAATTTAAAAGTTCCAGTTATATACAGGACTGAAGCCATTCTCTTGGGATATTTCCCGTGCCCTCTGTGCTCACTGTAGATTTTTACAGTACTTTAAACAAGGTGGAGAAGTCTGTCCCTTGATTGTTTTCAGGGATTTGGAGCAAAATGCCCCTTGGGTCCATCTCATCTTCTGGTGCTGGGACAGAGAGGGAACCCACACCCTCCAGCATTCCCTGCTGTGACAGATAAAAGCCTCTCCATAGTTCTCCCATTCTTCTGTGGGAAGATTTCATCCTTGCATTTCTCACTTACCTTAAGCAGGGAAGTCACATGGCCACTTTTTGTCAACCCAGCTGCTTTGGGAAGTTGGATGTTTCCTTTTTTTGCTTTTTTGGGAGTGGGGGAGGCAGACCTGTGTGTTCCCGTGTCAATCTCACTGGCCTGCCTGGAGGCTTGGGCACAGCCTCTTCCTTGAAGCACACAAGGCTCCAGAAGGTGCCCAAAATCTTCCTGGTGCCTTGGGAGTCTTAGAATCACAGAAACATGGAAGAGTTTGTGTCAGAAGGGATCTTTGAGATCAGCTTGTTCCAACCCCCTGCCATGAGCAGGGACACCTTCCACTATCCCAGGTTGCTCCAACCTGGCCTGGAGCACTGCTAGGAATGGGGCAGCCACAGCTTCTCTGGGCAACCTTTGCCAGGGCCTCACCACCCTCACAGGGAACAATTTCTTCCTGATATCCCATCTAAACCTTCTCTGTGTCAGTGTGAAGCCATTCTCCTTGCCCTTTCACTACAGTTCCTGATGAAAAGTCCTCCTCCAGCTTCCCTGTAGCCCCATCAGCTACTGGAAGGTTCTGTGAGGTGTCCACACACCAACCTTTCCTTCTCCAGGCTGAACAGCCCCAACTTTACCAGCCTGTTCTCCATAGGGAAGGTGCTCCAATGACTTCTGGACAGCTGTTGGGAATGAAGGAACTGAAATAAAGGTTATTTGGAGACCCTCACAGGGGGATCCCCACCCCGAATCTGGGTGACCTGCTCTGGTGTGGGTGTAGTGGGCTGGTTGGATCAGAGCCCCCGAAGCGTAGGGATTGTCCTCTCCCCACCACAGCACTGGGAACACTGGGAATGCTGTGGCAGCCTTGGAGCTTCAGGGCTGAGAGCCATCCCACAGCCGGTGTCAGCCTGCTGTGCCAGCTGGGCTGTTTGCATTCGCTCCCTTTGCCATGGCAAAGGCTGAAAATATTTCCCATAATTTGTGTGTGCTGTTATCCGCAGAAGAGTCATGATTTATTTTTAAATTTTGAAAAGGCACCTTCCTGTTTGTGTCCTGTTTGTCCCTGCAGTGGCAGAGGGATACGTGCCCTCCCAGCCTTCAGAGAGCAGGAGATGGGGCTCAGGAGAAACACTGCTGGAAATCTCTGCTGATTCATTTAGCTAATGGCTCAGGAACAAGAGCCCTTTGTGTACTGATAGCTGAATATCAGCCAATGTATTATA